GCTTTGTTTCGGGTTTTCCATCGTTAAATGCAAACAAACTGATTTTGAGAATTCTAGCTTCACAAATTTCTACTGGACAAGCATACAACAATTTTGTACTTGTCCTGCATCGATGTTTATTTGTAAATATGAGGGAACAAGTGGAATTTTCGATCCCTGTTTGATAATAACAATAAACTGTTCTTGATTGTAAGAAGGGCTATTGTCATTTACAAATTTAGTGTTATAACAGTTAATTCTAGCTGTTATTTAAAATCCCTTAAAAAATCAATGGAACTGCTCAAAGGAGGGCAATTCCATTATGGAAATTGTACAAGGTGATAGCTACATGATGAATCAAAGTACTGAATGTACTGATGGGGAGGCTATGAGAGAATGTTTCAGACTTATAGTTTCTTTTCTTTTTGCTTAAAATATGCTACCAAAACAAAAAGATATGCACATTGCGCTATTTATCCTTACTGTTGTGTTCAACCATTCATATATATGGTTAATGTGGTTGACTATTCATTTTGTTAATATTCCAGAACATTTAATTGAGGTCTACATTCGGACTGTTAATCATGCAAATTTTGAAAAACCTAAACTGTCAATAATAAATGACATACCAGCAAGTATGACGACTGTTCATTATCAGATAACAATAACATTTTACAACTGACGGTTCCTTATCAAAATATTCTAGGACTGTTCATCATAAATACTTTATGTCATTTTAATATTATTAAATGATAATAACAACTGCAAGTGATGCAACATTTTTATTGACCATAAAAATTATACACGTTTAGATGTACCATAATTGAGATCAATAAGATACTGTCTTGTGATGAGTATTAATATTCATGCTCTACGGACAGAAGGTTGTCTTCTCCAGAAGCAAATCTCGAATAAAATCACGTTTCAGAAAATTAATCCCATTTCATTACTGACGGCGTCGGATAATATTAAAGCTAAATATTTCTTGAAAAAATACAACTCTGCAAAGCTTATTCAAAACTGAATCAACATAAGTGAAAATTGATCAGGAAGTTATATCTTCTTTTTTTACCGCCAACACTCAACCAACTTTTGGTAGTTAATCGATAGATTCTACGTGTATTTTTAAACCTCACTAGCTTGAAATATATACTGCGGAAAATCTGTTGTTAACAGGGTGTGCGGTTATTACGTAGGGTTTTCCCTGTCGACCATTTCCCGCAAATAGATGAGAACATCGAAGCCGTCAGTGCTATGAATGGTGTTATAAATGGCGTGTTTTGGAAGTTTTTGTTGAAACTTCTCCAAATACCTCCAGAGGCGTGCACGTCGCGGAGAAGGCACACGGAAGGTCATAGTCAAGTCATCATAAGTACCAGAGGTTATTGGTTGACCTGTCGTGACTTACTCTGGAGGTTTGGCGCTAATAGATGCCGTTTTTGTTGTCGTCAGTCAGAAAGTTGATGCCTTGACGGTATTGTCGTCTCCTTTACCACCAAAGAACGAAGAATGGGCTTCAAGGAAGAATCTGCTTGAAAAAGACGTCCCAGATGCTATAATCTCGGACATATGTTATTCTGGCGCCGAGTATAAATAAACTTAAAACACACACACTTTTGTTGAAAACAAAACAACAACACATTTTCTGTAGTAATTTTTCAAGTGTTGTAAAATGAATAAGAAATTCCTCTTATGCCGCCCATTATTTTTAGAACACAACCATAAAAGTTCTTTTTTTTTATTTTTCAAATAAACATTAATCACTTCAGCGCGCGCAAATATCGGTTTCAAATTAAAGTTTCGTAAGATATGTTAATGACTTCCCGATGCTCGACTGTAAGTAATTTGTATATGTATGCGGTTTTTTTTTTGTTTTTGTTTTTGTTTTTTAATTAAAGCTTCTTATTCTTTAATATTTTTTATGTATCTCATAATCTGTATTGAAAATTTGAATTTTATTACACATGGACTATCAAATTATGATGTATGCCCTAGAATTGAATAAACTTTCTAATTACCCAATACGGGGTCATACTGATCTTTGCGTCTTTCTCTGAAATAATTATTTCCTTGTTAAAACATATTTGACCACATATTTCTGTCAATTAACTGTTCACTTTACTTCCGATTTTGTTGTACGGAAACACATGTTTCTATTTGTGTTTTCTAATCAATTCGAATCTATAATCAGTTTAATGGGATCACCACCGGGTAAACGACTACTAGGTACTTTGGTCATGTTTTTTACCACAAATATTTGAATGTTTCTATGGGATTAAAATGAGCATAGTTAACTAAACAACTGTTTGTATAAATTCCTGACCTGTCTAATTCTAATTATGAGATTAGTGAATATATAAGACTTTCACTACAAAATATTCCTAAACAAAATAGCACATGTTTAAATTTATTCCTCTACAAATAAAAGATCAGAGTAGGGATCTGTCAATTGCCAAAGATACTTTTATGTTAAAAGTTTGATTAATGAATTATGTAAGATGAAAATATAAGTATTGCTTTTTTTATTTTGCTAATATAAAATGTAATATTGTGCTGGAATTTTGTCAGAGGTCCTTAGGGGTTTTGTAGTTAAATAGTTTTTTTTCGGCGATAATGGTTAAAGAATATAATGTTTTCAAACTATATGTTCATCACCATCAGTGAATTTTTAGTTAAATGTATGCAAAATATTTACTAAACAGCTATATGATTTAGCGGTTTATGAGCGTTTTCCGCGTACAGCCTCCTGGGGTGTACAAATAAGTTAGTTTTCCTTAGTTATCACGCAAGCATGATCCATGTCTCTGATGTAAGCGACAGTTTACAATTATTTGTCTTTAAAAAATATTAAGGACTATTAATAGTTTATAACAACAAAAGAACATGCATGATATTGAGAATACTGTGTTGCAACGTTCTAGTTAATGACCCGTCATTAACAGTTGGTCGCTGCGTAGTAATTGGAAAATTGTTATCAAAAATAATAAAGAATATTTGCCACTGAATTAAAGCATTTACTTATAAATTTTCATTTATGCTTTTTGTTAAAAAAATATTGATAAAGTTATTATTTTGAAGGGTTTTCATACCAAAACTATTTATTACAGACGTACGCGTATGCCTAAACCTGATTACCGCGGCAGTATGACGTCACGGAGTAGTGATTTAAACAAAAATCAAGAATTTTTCAGAGAATTGTTATCTTTACAAATTGCAGATTTGAAATTAAAGAATGAAAATATTTTCATATTGTAAATGTCTGTGATGAGTGATGAGTCAGCTTAGAAAAAATCAAGGTACTATTTTTTGACCTGATTACCGCGGCAGTATGACGTCACGGAGTAGTGATTTAAACAAAAATCAAGAATTTTTCAGAGAATTATTATCTTTACAAATTGCAGATATGAAATTAAAGAATGAAAATATTTTCATATTGTAAATGTCTGTGATGAGTGATGAGTCAGCTTAGAAAAAATCAAGGTACTATTTTTTGACCTGATTACTGCGGCAGTAAGATTTGACAGACGGTTATTAACATTGGGTCGGCATAGCCTCCCCAAAAACTCTGTATAATTTGACAGTTAGCATTATTAGATTGTCATTATTTTTTTGAATAATTACGTACAGCATATATGGCAAGAGATTGGATTTGGGAGTGTCTTTCTATATAGATGATTATAGAATAAATATCTGAAAGTGTAAGATTAGCTTTCATGTGCTATAAAGGCACATTGATTGACTGGGAAAATTCCTCTAGACGTGACATTTATTGCACAGTTTTCATCAAATGATCATCAAGGCTTGTATGTAATCGTGCATATAATCCACAGAGAGACTCATTTTCTCCTTCCCGAGATTTCCTTAAATAGATTATTACAGAATGCACTGTTATAAGCTTAATAACCAATGAAAAAACACTGCTCATTCATATGATTTTTTTCTGTTTCAATAATTTTTTGAAAAGATATATAATTTGTTGTTTTGTCTTTTACTCCTTAGTAAGCTTAATATAGGCAAAAGTTCTGAAAGATTCTGAAATTGGTAAATTTCAGAATAGTAAATTTATAGAATAAAAATATGACATGTAACATGATCAATACAAACAAATAGATAGATTTCAGGAGGATATTAAAGTGAACTTCTGCACATAAATAGTAATAGTTTAGACCCTACAAACATTGGACATATTATCTTCAGCCAAATGTCATTAAATACAAACATGTGGCAATGCACTCTCACTTTATCAAAACTCACAAACTAAAAGTTTTCTGATAATTATTCATTACAATAAAAAAAAGAATATGAATGAAATCATGCTAGCCATGCAGTCAATGTCAAATTGTTAGTTTGGAAGACTTTGTAACAACATGTTAATATTATAGGACACTATTTGGCTGAAACATTACAAGCATAATGTTTATTTTCTTTTATTTATATATCATATTAGTTATTTATTATAACGCAAGTGTAAACACAACCACAATAAGCAAATTATTAAAATATTACATGAAACCGGAGTGTCCATGTCTATCCAATAAGAAAATATGTATTTTTATGACTTTCCTTATGGACCCGTTTTTGTTTATATTATTTCACATTACATGTCCCACTCCTTTCGCCCTGTGTCCACTCCAAGTTTTTTTTGGTGCCTTCTGGGTGTCCTACTTGGGTGTGTCGGGGGGCCGCGTCCTGTGAACGTTGCCTTTGCCTTGTTGATCTTTATTCTTGTTTTTTTACACTATCATACGATTGATTAAAAATGATAATTGATTGGAAAATTGGTTCCGATTAATTATAATGATTGGTACAGAGAAATTGCTTAATTATTAAACATTACAAGTCATCATACACTCCTACCTATAGTTGAGCTTCTAGGTGGGCTACAATGAATTTAATCCTTTCTGATGTTACAGAGAATCTTGTTATCAACAATAATTGATTAATACATCTTAAGGAAATGTTGATACATTGTGTTGAAACAATGTTAAAAGGGAGGAGATGTTCTGACAGACAAAGTAGGTCTTAACGATGTTTTTACAAATTGGTTTATTTTTTCTATTTTCAGGTTGCCTGTTCTCTGGGAAGCAGGAACTGTGTGAAATAGGTTCAACTTGTATAGATGGTTAGTAATTGTTACTACAGAATTTCTTTTGCAAGAATTAGGGAGGCCATTATATAATTACAATTTTTTTCCCAAATTTTAAATACAATTGGGGGGGAAACCTGTAAAACTGCATTAATTATTAGTATAGTCTGAATGTGTTATTAAAACAGAAAAATTAATTGGCTGGTGAACAGTGCCCTAAAATATAATAAATTACCACCTTCATTATTGTGACAGGTATGACATGGAAATGCAAGCAAAGATAGGTCATTTAATATGATGGTTTCTCTTTTAACTTAGTCTGAGGAAACAGAGTAACTTGGTAGTTTACTTTATGAATGACTAAGTACTAGAGTACTTGTTTCCATCTCTATATACTATGCTAAATTTATCCAATATTTTATATTAAATACAAAAAAATATCAATAAAAAGAAACACCACCACTCCTGGCATATTTGAAAAACTATTATTACACTTATTTCTCTTTTTTTATATCAGAAGTAAGCCTAAGGATCATATTCCTCAATATACCTTCACAATAGCTCTGTTGAAATATATAATCAAAGTGAATATTGCCGCTAAATGTCGACGTTTCTTGGAAAACAAAGATTTTTTGAACAACTGGAATTGAAAATAATTTTATAATAGATATATAGGGGAGTAAAATCATGTTTTCTAGATTTTACAAAGTATTATTTCATTTGTTAGTTTTGCAACCAACTGCAACATCTTGATAAGCTTGTATTTTGAAGAATATTTAAAAAATCAATTTCAAATACATTAATATATTTGTTAAAGAAGAAAAAAGTGCCACCGACACATATCTGTTTTGTTACAACATTGATTTCTCTATCTGCTTGTAACATTGATTTCTTTATCTATCTGTTTTGTAACATTGATTTCTCTATATCTGTTTTGTAACATTGATTTCTCTATCTATCTGTTTTGTAACATTGATTTCTCTATCGATCTGTTTTGTAACATTGATTTCTCTATATGTTTGTAACATTGATTTCTCTATCTATCTGTTTTGTAACATTGATTTCTCTATCTATCTGTTTTGTAACATTGATTTCTCTATCCGTTTGTAACATTGATTTCTCTATCTATCTGTTTTGTAACATTGATTTCTCTATCTGTTTTGTAACATTGATTTCTCTATCTATCTGTTTTGTAACATTGATTTCTTTATCTATCTGTTTTGTAACATTGATTTCTCTTTCTGTTTTGTAACATTGATTTCTCTATCTATCTGTTTTGTAACATTGATTTCTCTATCTATCTGTTATGTAACATTGATTTCTCTATCTATCTGTTTTGTAACATTGATTTCTCTATATGTTTGTAACATTGATTTCTCTATCTATCTGTTTGTAACAGTGATTTTTCTATCTGTTTGTAACATTGATTTCTCTATCTATCTGTATTGTAACATTGATTTCTCTATCTGTTTTGTAACATTGATTTCTCTTTTTGTTTTGTAACATTGATTTCTCTATCTATCTGTTTGTAACATTGATTTCTCTATCTATCTGTTTCGTAACATTGATTTCTCTTTTTGTTTTGTAACATTGATTTCTTTATCTATCTGTTTGTAACATTGATTTCTCTATCTATCTGTTTTGTAACATTGATTTTTCTATCTATCTGTTTGTAACATTGATTTCTCTATCTATCTGTTTTGTAACATTGATTTCTATATCCGTTTGTAACATTGATTTCTCTTTTTGTTTTGTAACATTGATTTCTCTATCTATCTGTTTTGTAACATTGATTTCTCTTTTTGTTTTGTAACATTGATTTCTCTATCTATCTGTTTTGTAACATTGATTTCTCTTTTTGTTTTGTAACATTGATTTCTCTATCTATCTGTTTTGTAACATTGATTTCTCTTTTTGTTTTGTAACATTGATTTCTCTATCTATCTGTTTTGTAACATTGATTTCTCTTTTTGTTTTGTAACATTGATTTCTCTATCTATCTGTTTTGTAACATTGATTTCTCTATCTATCTGTTTTGTAACATTGATTTCTCTATCTATCTGTTTTGTAACATTGATTTCTCTTTTTGTTTTGTAACATTGATTTCTTTATCTATCTGTTTTGTAACATTGATTTCTCTATCTATCTGTTTTGTAACATTGATTTCTCTTTTTGTTTTGTAACATTGATTTCTCTATTTGTTTTGTAACATTGATTTCTCTCTCTAACATTGATTTCTCTATCTCTTCTGTGTAACATTGTCTTTTATCTTGTAATGTCTGTTACTGTATCATTCTGATTTGTTAAATTGATTTACTCTGGTTTTATACCATGTTCATACATAGGTGATAATTATTGTGTAGTCCGCAGACCCAGCTTAAAAAGCAAGTAATTTACCTGTGTGATCACATCTGTTTCAAAATACTTATTATCATTTTCTAAAGACTTTGAGGTAATAGTGGCAATAATTGCAAAACTATACAATAAGTGTTGAGCTAGACAGCTCATGTTTAATTTATATTCATATTTTTTTTCATAAATAAATAATAAGTTTGAGGGAGCACTTTTTGATAAAATGAATTTTCAGAGAAAAGTAGTATTTCAAGTTGTATTTACTATGATTTATTCTGTATATATCTCTTCACTTTGTATATTTATGTAACAATATTTACGATATTATGTAGAATAGGGCCAATTATTATAAAATGATAAAGATAAATTCATTTTTGCTGACTAGACATTTATGCATTTCATATGCTTATTGGAATGCTGCAACATTCTTATTAAGGCAGATTTTAACATTTCCTCTCTAGAAAATAATTACAAACTAGATCAGTGTAGGAGTGAAAAACAATAGCTTAAAACTTTCAGATTTCGATTCAGCTATGTTTCAGTTAATTTTCTTTTTAATAGCTTAATTAGATTGTTGTATATGTTACTGGATTAGTTGATATTAGTATTTGTTGTTGAAAATATATGTCAAACTATAGATTACTTAAATTACTTTATGGCCTTTATGATAAGTACATATGTATGATAATAATTTTGCTTTTAATTTCAGATCTTCTTTTTGGAACTTGCTCTAGAAGTGGAATTCCAGCAAGTTTCGATTACACTCTTCAAAAACATGACTTAAAGAAACTAGAGGTTGAAATACTAAAACTGGTAAAAGATGGATTTTCTTGGGGTGACGGCTATACTCAATGTATTATACAGAACGTTATAATTTCGCTAACAATAAAAGAGCCTTTTAGTAAGAAAATATGTTACAGCCTATTGTTTGACTGGAAAAAACCAGTTCAAGATGAAATAAGCTCAGTACTAGAAAGTCTTTATGAACAAACTGTTCCACTGGACCGATTTACGTCTGCTGAAGAATACGAACCTGTTTCCTTGTTATCACCATCACAGAAACGGGATGAAATTGTCAGGGTACATAAATATTTTGATAAAAATGAAAAAATTCACAAACGCAACTTTTTTGGGGGTTCTCAGTTAGGATTTAGTAACTACCTCTCCTACGACCCAAGGGACGATGTTTCTCAGCTTTACCCAGGATCTTACGAACAAACTTACGAGACACCATATCGAGGCGGATGGGAAAATTCGGGAATTCCTTACAAAGATTTACAATTAGTAAAGGATTACCTTGAGGCTACACGAGGACAACAAAGGCCAAAATATAGTTCAAAATTATCGGAACTGTTTTCATATACGCCAGAACTTGAGCAGCAGACAGAACAACAAGTAGGTGGGTTCCCTGATTATGATTTACCAGAAAGAGGCTACGGAATCAGCAATGAGGATGTAGAACCAGGCTATGTTTGGAATGACAATGATATGATTTATGACGTAACAACACCAGATAATGGTACATTATTGAATTTCTATACTCATTGTTACACACATTTATATGAATTATTGATACAATACTATAGGATATGTAATCTGTTCTCCCAATAGAACTTATTGTGTATTTCAAAGTTTAAACAAAAGTAGAATGTGTTCTTGTGATATTGAATTGTACTGACATATATTCCAGAATAATATTAGATTTTATTAAAAGGTTGTAAGTGTATAAACTATGAACTAAGTGTATCAGCTGTTAGAATATTGAGAAAAAAATGTCAATTTTCAGTCATCTTTAGCTACATTAATTATTTTGTCCATAAAGTAGTTGTTACTTGTGATTCATGATGGAATCAATGATTATAATTTAATCAGAGCTAACTCGTATTGAACAAAAGCCCTACATGACAGTAATCTGTCTATTCAAATGTTTTAGATGAGTGGATCATAAAAAAAACATAACTTATTTGGAAACAAAAAACCACAGTCTAAACTCTTATTCTGTTTTCTGGTATCAGTTACCTCTGAAATTATTTTATCATTTACCTAAAAAATCATGGTTTTTCATCATTATCTGAGGTCTTTCACATCTCAATTTATTGTACTGTTTCAGATGAAGATCAAATTGATTTAGATGAACTATCTGATACTCCTACAGAGAATACAGGTAAGATACAGTATATCATGTTGATTTTTATACCCTGAAGGAAGGCATAAGGTAATTCATCATGTTTATTTTTATGCTGTGAAGCTGAAAGGTCCCCTTTGTTGCCATGCTTTTAAGTTTAACAGCACATTTACCACTGGTAGTGTTTTGAGGGTACCACACCATTTGCTAACAATAAATCATTGTTATATACTTGTTTTACATTGATAGGACCAACCTGCTAACAATTTCTCTTGCTGTAATTGCCACTTTTGTCTATGTGATTTGACTGAACTGTTAATATATGGTAAATTATTTTCTGATATTGAAATTATCACTGTCTATATAGCCCATTGTGTCTTTTTTTGTTCAATCACCAACCTAAAGTGAAACCTGTGTGTCATGACCTCAATAAAACATATTCTGAAAACATGTTATTCTAATTCACCTTTTAATTTTTTCAATTGAACAATCAAACTAGAAATTTTAATGGTATTTTAGATGTAACCAGTCAACAAATATCACGTTGTTAACCCATAACCTGCTGAATCTCATAAACAGTCTCACTGTTTTCTAATTTCCATTTTTGGGGAACTCACTTAACAGTCCATTATCAATTTAAGGCATATCAAGAAAAAAATTAGTTAATCAGTATAGAGCCTGGTATGAGACAGGTGGTAGAGGTGAATGGTAATATTTTGTTTAGTTTAAGCAGGGTTAGGGCTAATTCTCTCAAGTTGGTCAAGAGAGACATGTGGGACTGTATATCATCTTTCCTTCTGTTTTATATCATATCATTATTTTAAAATCTTGTTTATTGATATAATTGCCATCATATTCCCATTAGTCTTTAGTCTAAATTTCACATAAACAGTTCTCAATAAAAATTATTTAAAACCATTCATTTCAATGTTGCCTGTATCTGGGTAAACACTGCATGTCTACCAATTGTAGGTCAAAGTCTTAAGTGAATTAGACACAAATAAGAAAGAATTTATGGTATTAAACAGTTACAGTCTCTCCTATGATGTTTGAATCATTTTATTTCTTATTGGCATCTAACTTTTACTTAATAATTCAGCTGTCTTAACAAAAATTTAGTAAATAAAAAAAGTGAATCATAGAAATTGCCTTTGCAACAGTCTCAAAGCCCAAAAATAGATACTGTTATAAACAGGTAGTTAAATGCCATCATTTTGATATAAATGAGCCGCATCATGACAAAACCAACATAATGGGTTTGCGACCAGCATGGATCCAGACCAGCCTGCGCATCCGCACAGTCTGATCATGATCCATGCTGTTCGCTTACTAACTCTATTACAAGTAGAGAAACTGATAGCGAACAGCATGGATCCTGATCAGACTGCGCGGAAGCGCAGGCTGGTCTGGATCCATGCTGGTCGCAAACACACTATGTTGGTTTTGTCATGACCTGGCTCAATTATACTACTCCCTTACAAATTACATAACTTAGTGATGGCATTTTATTTTCATGGAATAGCTGATTTTATAGGAAATTTGATCATATTACTTCTAATTGTTGAAATCTCTGAATGGAAACTAGGTAGTCATATTTTTTTAAAGCCACACTATTGCATTTGTTAGAGAAAAAGTACACATACTAGTATTTCAGAAAAGCTGTATGTACAAGGGGCATATTTCACTTAGTGGCAACGGAAGCACGTTTTTATAAATATTTATTTCTGAGGCACAATTACCAAATTTCCCACAAATTTTGGAATAAGGTCTTTGCTCCTCTCTCAAAATCTCAATGCAACTCAGCCAGTAAACAAAATCACATGTTTTTAAATGACTTGCTAAAATTTTATTGCATGTGCAAATTGTATGAAAAAACTGTTGGTTAGAATAATCAATAATCTTTCCAATGGTATATCATACATGTACTTTCACATGCAAATCATGGTTAAATTGAGTTGTTGAGGGTTGAATTAAAATAGTCCCTCCTATTATATTTCTATTTTAATGAAAAGTTAATTAGGAATATTGAACTGAGCTTACAAATGGGTCAAACTGAATTTCCCCGATAGAATCTGCTTTGAAGGTAGCCATAAGCTTCACGGGTTTAAAATGCAAACCAAAGTATTGTCTTTAAAGCAGCATGCCTCCAGTTTTATGCATATTTAAATGAAACTTTTGAAAATGTATTTAAAAGTAAAATATTATGAAGTAACCAAAAGGAAGCAATTTTCATATTACAAACAGCACACCCAACCCATGTCAATTAACAAAATGAGGTCAAAATATTCAAAAATAGCTTTTACGGTGTTCGTAACTTAGCAGAATTATGTAAATTGTGATAACTGAAAATCAAAAATTAATTGAATACAACATGTAAATTATTACTCAATTCTTGCTACTTTTTAACATAAATTTCTCCATTCATCCTGGAACATATTTAATGAAGCTCAACAAAGTTTCTTGCAACAGATATAAATCACTTGCAATACCATATTGTTAGAACTACTGGTGTCATATGAGGAGTATTGTTTTGACCTGAGGTAGGGCTTGAATCTTTTATCCCTGGCTTGAGAGGCAGACACCTTAACCAATAGGGCACTGCTTCCCTTTTATATGCCCTTTGTGATGTTTACAAAAGATTGTGACAAAAAAGATTTTCTTATAGGATTAAGTCTTAAACCTTTAGATTGATAAATATGTTCCAGATTCAGGAGTTTTGATCCTGGGCACTGTGAGCTAATTTGAATTAACTTTCAATGATTTCTTTTGTAAAAATATTTCAGACAGGATTTCCTGTAAGGTGTTTGATTTGTAGGTTACGCAATAGTTGTACAGGTGAATTAAGATCCTTTGGTTGATAAATTTTTCATTCTCATCTGGCAGCAGTTCTTTTTTGCACCAATTTAACACTTAAATGCCAAAGTTCTGAAATGGAATTGCACTTCTTCAATCAGAACAAAACAATTCATCATAATATAGTGAATAGGTTTTAAGATAAGTTAGTGACAGAATAGTGACATGGTCAGACCATCATCAGACATCACCCCCCGCCCCTTACTTTGACTTCATGCCTCGGCATAAAGCAAAAAACTTAAGGCCTTTGTGATACATATTTCAATTCTTATAGTATTCAGACAGTCTAGAATTGTGAGTTTGTATGTCATTGCCTTCAATTTACTAGTGTGACAAGAAGAAGCAGTTTGTAATGGCAGCTATATTCTGCTATTTTCTGTGATCACCTTTCTCATTACAATGTATTGGGGCAATAAAATCGTGTAATACTGTAAGGCTTCATGGTCAATACATGGATTCCTTTGTCAATAAATCGGTTATAGACATGTGGGTTGGGAACTTGTCTGACATTCTCAAACTGCTTTACAAGATTCCCAGTCTGCAACTTAAGGATTAATAGCACAGAAAAATTAGGATAAAGTTTGACATTTCAAAAATGCATTGAGACACGAGTATAATGGCAGCTGATTAAAAAAAGTTTGAAAAATGAATGTACAAGTCATTTTAGAACAAGTTCAGCCTGAAATAAAATGATAAGCTGAAAAATAATGTTTCCCCACCAGTACCTAACAAAATAGCTACAATTAAACTTTTCCTATCAGAGCGATAGACCTATATCTTTTATTGATGACATGAAACTAAATATTTATTGTATTTATTATATTTATTTGAACTTAATTAATAACAGTCTGTATTCAAAAGGCAATAAAATGCAAAATGTATCAGATTTGTATATTAACTAAACTGGTGCCACATTGACGCCACTATAATTCATTGTCAACAAAACATCATGGCCATATGAGTAAATTATACCAGCAATGATTTATAAACATTGCTCATATTATAACTCATCATATTTGATTTCTAATGGATTTTCCTGCAGTCTGGGATGCAATGCCACGGTATAGAACTTGGTCAGACTGCTGGGATATGCAGGCTGGGCTGGCACTGTATTCTGTTAGCAAAGGCTAATTAGTTAATTAAGGTTCCAGCAGGTAAGTTAAAATGTTATTAAAGGCAATTCATTAAGGTTTAGACTGTCAACTTTAAATTCATTGTTGATATTATGTATTTTCAGAAGAGATCGAATCACTTCCTCCCAGTTTAGCCAACACACTAGACAAGCTTATTCAAGGTAAGATTTCTTCAGGAGCAAGCAAGTTCATTGCTTTGTTTGTGTGTTTGGTTTAGGTTTACTGCTCACCAACACAATTTACTGAATTTAGGTCATATGGTGGCAAAACAGGAAAGATGAAGTGTTACAGACTTATATCAACACTAGGGGTCAAAACCATCTCACCAGCTGGAGCTAAGAGATGCATAGACTCTAGTAATTCAAGCCGATTTAGTCGCCTCGTACAATCACCCAGGTATAAACAGTGGCTACAGTTCTGATGCCCTAACTCTTAAAGGCAACCCCTCAGTCACAAGGGGAACTATTTATGTTTGTTTGTTTGGTTTTTATGCTGACTTTAATACATTTTTAGTCATATTTCCGTCTACCTGGCTTTCCGGGATAATTAACATTAATTACTAATCTCTCTGTAAGTGACTGACTACTGATCCCACATGAGTCAGTCAGGAGAGACAAATGACCACAGAGAGATTTAGCATTGCTCGAAGATTGAACTTATGACCTGTACATTATTAATCTGATGCTGTCCTTAAGTAAGCTAAGCGGGCAAACTTTACTATATATAAAAAATCAAGACAGCACCTGGGCAGGCATATTTACACTCTGTAAGCTTAAAAATTCATGTTGTTTTGGGGCCATTGGCAAATGATTTACAGCCATTGACCTTAATCAAAGTCAGTCAAGGTCACAAAGACTTGTAGTTTGAGTGTATTAAAAAATGATAGCTAGAATATCAAAAGAACAAAAGTAATTATTAATTTTGTGAAAAAAAGTTTTTTGAGTAGCTTTGAGTTTCACTCTTTTATGAAAAATCAATGCTTTAATGAAAAAAAAATGAAATCTCTCCCTTTATACTCACTATCATACACAATCTTCGTGGTTGTGGTCCTGATTAAATTTGCTGCAAACTTTAAAAATATTGCTATCATTATGTTATATGATATCAGGCAAACCTGAAATTTGCGTCATTGGACTTAAAAACATAGAATTAAAATATTTTTACAGTCAACATAAATCTAACAAAAATATTGGAAGAAACAAATTTATGCGTATTGGGAGAGTTGCCTTGGTAACTGTAATGTAATATAATTCAGAAATCACATCTTGACTCTCATTTTGTCACCTAGGGTACTATTACTGTTAAATATTCACAAACACCATAACCTGGTAAACAGTATTCTAGGTGTGACCAAAAAAAAAAATAAATAAAAAAATAAAAATTAATATTTGCTTAATATATACCTGGTTGAAACAGATACATCAGGTGTTCAGCAAGAGTGGGTACAAATGTCTCTTGTATGGTTAAAAGCCAGTTTAATAATATTACAGTGATATTTATGTACCAGTCAGCAGTTAACTTACAAGTGTTCTTTGTACCTGTACTTACCTGTTTCCCACAAGATTTTTCTGGCATCAGAAGTGAATCAGATTTGTAAGTCTGATACCAATAGACATTCAAATTCCTAAATCTAACATCATAAGACATTCAAACATGTAAATATGACATCATTTGACCTTCAAACTCATAAGTCTGATATCATTCGACTTTTAGACTCATAAGTCTGACATTATTTGACCTTCAAACTTGTAAGCCTGACATCATCTGACCTTCAAACTCATAAGTCTGACATCATTTGACCTTCAAACTCATAAGTATGACATCAAAATTAATGATCTTCAAACTCATAAGTCTGACATCATTTGACAGTCACACTCATAAGTGTGACATCATTTGATCTTCAAACTCATAAGTCTGACATCAAAATTAATGATCTTCAAACTCATAAGTCTGACATCAAATGACCTTCAAACTTATAAGCCTGACGTCATTTGACCTTCAAACTCATAGGTCTGATATGCTTTGAAGACTTGTTATCATTCTGTAATCAGTGATTTCTGAGGATGGTAACTTTATTGTTCAGAGGACTAGCAAATGATTTTGTTTCTGCCATGGGGTCTCATTGATGCTAACATGGAGGAACATTATACATACATCTTTGATAAATCTTTTGGGTAACTGTTCAGAATATCAATAAACCAGGCTTGTCTTATTACGCATGTACAGACTGGCGGCCTGTTTCCTTACTGCTGGTGTGTACAAACTGGCCTGTCTCCTTACCACTGGCATGTAATTACTGCTTGGATGTACAGGCTGGCCTGTTTCCTTACTGCTGGCATTTACAAACTGGCCTGTTTCCTTACTGCTGGCATCTACAAACTGGCCTGTTTCCTTACCACTGGCATGTACATAGGGGGGCTGTCTTTTTACCACTGGCATGCACAGGCTGACCTGTTTCCTTAATGCTGGCATGTACAGACCAGCCTGTCTCCTTACTGCTGGCATCTACAAACTGGCCTGTTTCCTTACCACTGGCATGAACAGAGGGGTCTGTTTCCTTACTGCTGGCATGTGCTGGCTGACATGTCTCTTTACTGCTTGCATGTTACAGGCCAGCCTGTCTCCTTACCACTGGCATGTACAGACATGCCTGTCTCCTTACTGCTGGTATATACAGACCAGCCTGTCTCTTTACTGCTGGCATGTACAGGCTGGCCTGTCTCCTTACTGCTGACATGTGCAGGCTGGCCTGTCACCTTACTGCTGGCATGTACAAGCTGGCCTGTCTCCTTACCACTGGCTTGTACAAACCAGCCAGTCTGCTTACTGCTGGCTTGTGCAGACTGGCCTGTCTCCTTTCTGCTGGCATGTACAGACCGGCCTGTCTCCTTACTGATGGCATGTAATTACTGCTAGCATGTACAGGCTGGCCTGTCTCCTTACTGCTGGCATGTACAGACTGGCTTGTCTTCTTACTGCTTGCATGTACAGGCTGGCCTGTCTCATTACTGCTTGCATGTACAGACTGGCCAGTCTCCTTACTGTTGGCATGTACAGGTGGGCCTGTCACCTTACTGATGGCATGTAATTACTGCTTGCATATACAGGCTGGCCTGTCTCCTTACTGCTGGCATGTACAGGCTGGCCTGTCTCCTTACTGCTGACATGTACAGGCTGGCATGTACAAACTGGCCTGTCTTCTTACTGCTGGCATGTACAGACTGGCCTGTCTCCTAACTGCTGGCATGTACAGGCTGGCATGTACAGGTTGGCCTGTCTCCTTACTGCTGGCATGTACAGGCTGGCCTGTCTCCTTACTGCTGGCATGTACAGGCTGGCCTGTCTCCTTACTGCTGGCATGTACAGGCTGGCCTGTCTTCTTACTGCTGGCATGTACACGCTGGCCTGTCTCCTTACTGCTGGCTTGTACAGACCAGCCTGTCTCTTAACTGCTGGCATGTACAGGCTGGCCTGTCTCCTTACTGCTGGCATGTACAGGCTGGCCTATCTCCTTACTGCTGGCATGTACAGGCTGGCCTGTCTTCTTACTGCTGGCATGTACATGCTGGCCTGTCTCCTTACTGCTGGCATGTACAGACGGGCCTGTCACCTTACTGATGGCATGTAATTACTGCTTGCATATACAGGCTGGCCTGTCTCCTTACTGCTGGCATGTACAGGCTGGCCTGTCTCTTTACTGCTGGCATGTACAAGCTGGCCTGTCTCCTTACTGCTGGCATGTACACACGGGCCTGTCACCTTACTGATGGCATGTAATTACTGCTTGCATATAAAGGCTGGCCTGTCTCCTAACTGCTGGCATGTACAGACTGGCCTGTCTCCTTAATGCTGGCCTGTCTCCTTACCACTGGCATGTACAGGCCGGCCTTTCTCCTTACTGCTGGCATGTACAGGCTGGCCTGTCTCCTTACTGCTGGCATGTACAGGCTGGCCTGTCTCCTTACTGCTGGCATGTACAGGCTGGCCTTTCTCCTAACTGCTGGCATGTACAGGCTGGCCTGTCTTCTTACTGCTGGCATGTACACGCTGGCTTGTTTCCTTACTGCTGGCATGTACAGACCAGCCTGTCTCTTTACTGCTGGCATGTACAGGCTGGCCTGTCTCCTTACTGCTGGCATGTACAGGCTGGCCTGTCTCCTTACTGCTGGCATGTACAGACTGGTCTGTCTCCTTACTGCTGGCATGTACAGACTGGCCTGTCTCCTTACTGCTGGCTTGTACAGGCTGGTCTGTCTCCTTACTGCTGGCATGTACAGGCTGGCCTGTCTCCTTACTGCTGGCATGTACAGGCTGGCCTGTCTTCTTACTGCTGGCATGTACACGCTGGCCTGTCTCCTTACTGCTGGCATGTACAGACCAGCCTGTCTCTTTACTGCTGGCATGTACTGGCTGGCCTGTCTCCTTACTGCTGGCATGTACAGGCTGGCCTGTCTCCTTACTGCTGGCATGTACAGACTGGTCTGTCTCCTTACTGCTGGCATGTACAGACTGGCCTGTCTCCTTACTGCTGGCTTGTACAGGCAGACATGTCTTCTTTCTGCTGGCATGTACAGATGGGCCTGTTGTCCTTTCTGCTGGCATGTACAGACGGGCCTGTCTCCTTACTGCTGGCATGTACAGACTGGCCTGTCTCCTTACTGCTGGCATGTACAGATGGGTCTGTTGTCCTTACTGCTGGCATGTTCATAGGATAGACTGTAACCATTCCCGCCAGCTGTCAGTCTGGTTTTGTTATTTGTAAGTATATGGATTTAAAGACTGGCATGACAGCAGTTCAAGGGAAAGCATGCTCTAAAAATAAAACTAGAAGTACTTTCTACAACGTGAGAGAAATTTCTAAATGAATCAAAGTTTATTTTCCCCAAAGGACTTAATTGTTTCCTGATTTGATTTGTGTCTGCAAAAAATAGATTACATTATCGAGGCATTGTAATGGATTTAACTTGACGATTATGTATCAAAATAATTGAGGCATGTTAGAAAATTGTTTCATTTATCTGATACTGGAAAACATATGATTTTTCTGTTTTGGAGTCTTCAAGGGAGGTAATTTAGTGGGGAACAGTAGGGAATCATATGAAAATATATTAAACTACATGTATGGTAATTGTCCTATAAATATTACTCAAAATGTTGATATAAATTTGTCTGGCAGCCACATCATACCTGAAACCTGTGATAAGTTACAGATAGTTTAAACTTGATATGATAACATGTACCTCTTTTTAAAAGCAACAATAAAAGGACAATTAAAAAATACTTCAATCAATTCCTCTACAGTTAAGAAAATTTACAAAATTGAGATACAAATATATTGCAGAAAATAAGAGATCTTAAACAAATAAAAAACAAAGCCTTGAGTGTGCTGAGAAGGTATCAATGCTTGTTTAAAGTTGTTTAAAATATTTATATTTTATTACAGGGGAACTAACTCCAGAAAACTTGACAGACGATGAGCTTGAGTATCTTACTCCATATGTTTCCAAAATGTTGCTGCGTCTTAGTGATGCTGATGACCAATCATCTGACACACCAGAAGCTTGGGAGGATGTTCCTGTTGAAGAAAACATGATGCAAGGTTGTTTATTTTACTTATTCCTTGCTCAAATTACTTTTACAAGCTCGAAATGTTTGAAATATCCAGCCAATTCTCCAGCCAATTCTGCTTAAAGTCTTGTCAAACAAAATAGTTTCCTTACAAATTGAGTCTTGTGTAAAAACCCTATTCCAAGGAAATGAATAAATAGAAAATATTTTATTTAAAATACTCCAATATCCTTTACTTCCTATATTTTAGCACACCAGAATTGAAGGTTCTAAAGAGCCTGAAAGGAGGTTTCAAATGGTACCAAATATTTTCTCATTTGAGCAATTTTACAGCACAAATTTTCCAACTCGGGTACTTTTTCCCAAAAGAGCTTGGAATAGGCCTGAATGTGATATAATGATTCAAAAGCTTTCCAACCTCTGTTCATGTTAAATGTAATGTAATGATTGCAGAAGATTGCATGCTACCATTCATGTATGTGATGTTATAATTTTCACATTTTATGTAGTGAAATGTATAAAGGTTTCAAATTATAATTATTATGTAAATTCATGCATATATAACAGCTGCAATGATTTCAGTAGATGGCCAGCTCCCATATGGTATTGATGAGGAGGAAATGATGAGAGAATATCCTGAAGAAACAGATGAGAACCTTCCTATAGTGGATAGCCTGGCCAACATTGTACAAGAACAAGTTGATGAACCCAAGATGGAGAAAAAGTCAGATACAGGTAACTTCAAGTCAACAGCTGCTTATCTCTTAACTTACCAAAATGCTGGCAGTCTGTGTATTCAATATAAAAAGTTTTTGTTAAGATTAAAATATATATTGGGCTATTGGTTAAAATTTGGTGGAATTCACTGTCACCATAAGGTCTTTAATCTAAGAGAGATAATCCCTACTAAATTATCTAGATTTAAGAATGTTATGGTTGCCTCCCTTGGTCAATCTCTAGAAAGAGTGTAACAAGGGGAACAATCATAGTTGTATTTATTTATTTTTGTCAGTCACAGTTGCTTCCCTTATATTAATAAGATTTCAGAATACATTGCAATCTTTGACCACTGGATTTCATATGTAAACAACAATAACTTTGATTACCGTAATAAAATATATCCAACTCTTGAAATCAATTTTAAAAAACCTATTGATGTGCAATTTTATTGTCAACAGGAGGACATTTGTACTTTTGGTTTCTATAAGCATAGAATAATATGAATATCTATAAAATAAATTTACTTGATTTAAGTGGACAGTTACAGGATAAAATAGAATTCAGAATTGAGTAAGCCAACAGATCCCAGCATTCACCTACTATTTGTTTCTATGTGGAGTTTTGTAGCATATGTTAGACCAAAATACCTTATCAGTTCTTCGTATTTATATAACTATGTCCGAGGTCCTTATCTTATGACTGCTGGAAAGAGCCCAGTAAGTTACTATTTGAAAAACTGTTACCTGCAATCAAGCAAATTCTAACTTTATTGAGTTATAAGGCCACTGGCCCAAACACATATGAAGATTTATTATACAAAATATACATCAATGGATGCTACAGATCAGACATGTTGAAGACATAATAGAAATATGTATAACAAAATGACAATATTTATCAAAGAAATAATATATGTACTAATTATTTAAACATAGACAAAAATTGATCTTGTACTCAAAGTGCTATATTATAGAAAAGTTGCTCATTTCCTTATAGTATCAATATGTTAAGATGACAACATTTTATTCTGTTTACGTACAATATTCATGTATTTTAAATTACATTAGCATTCTATATAACAAATCTTTTACAAAATATTTCATCAGATGTAGCTTTATTGTAATGTCATGCTTACTATAATATCAGTATCAGTATGATATAAAAGCTTATATTTTGTCTTTATTTTAAACTATATTGAAAGTGTGAAGATATGAGAACTAAAAGTTTGATTTGTTTAAGGATTGCCTCTGTTTTAAATGGAATTGGCAAAAAACTAAACATGCTTGAAATTCAGTGAATATTGCTTTGACATATGCTTATTATTATTTAACTTCAGTTTGTATAATTATGCGGTAATATTGCAGTGAATTAAGCATATGGTGAAATAACACAGAATTAACCTCAAAAGCATTATGTTAAAGATGATACAAGATTATCTAGATTCCCCAGAACAAATAAACAAGTTTGCAAATGATATACATAAGACATAAATGCCTTTAAAGAGATATATGAATCTAATAAAATGTCCATATGTCAGTTCTTTAATAAAGGTGCCTGTAATGAAATATTAATGTCATTAAAGCAGCACGCCTCCAGATTCACGCTAATTTTCATGAAAATTTTAAACATGACATTGTATTTAAATGTATAATATTGAGAAATAGCCAAAAGGAAGCAATTAAATTACACATTATCAATGGCACTTACAATCCACGTAAATTACCAAAAAATTGTCAAAATATGCAGTAAGGGCTATTTATGCATATTTTGACAACTTTTTGGTAATTTACGTGGATTGTAAGTGCCATTGATAATGTGTAAATTGCTTCCTTTTGGCTATTTCTCAATATTATACATTTAAATACATTTTAAGTAACGCAGTAGAAGTATAGTTGTAAATACTCTAACATCAGTTATTAACTGCACATAACATATAAAATATTATTTGAATCTTGAATCATTTTGCTTTTCCTAAAATCGTAGTACATATTTCTCAAGTTTGATTTTATTGAAATATTTTGACTAATCTGGAGGCATGCAGCTTTAAAACAATATCAGTGTCCATCAAGATAAAATTGTCATTAAAAACAATGTCTGTACATTTACGTAAGTATATTTTTACTGAGTGCAGTAACGGGTTAACTTCTATTATATCAAATAAGGAGTTAACCCATTTTTGCCCAAAAGTGATGACAAATATCATTTAACAACAATGCCTTTGACCTTATTAAGATATCAATGTCATTAAGAAAGAATGTCAGTGCCTATAACATTAAATTCAATGCCATTACCTTTATATTTGTATTTATGTCATTGCTTATATATGGGTATAAATGTCATTAAAATTTGTGTTAATGCCTTTATTTAGGTGTAAATGTCATTAAAATCAATGCCATTGCCAATATCTATGTATAAATGACATTAAAACCAATGCAATTGCCAATATCTACGTGTAAATGTCATTCAAATCAATGCCTTTATATAGGTATAATTGACACTAAAATGAATGCTCTTCAATTTAAAAAGGTATAAAAAGTTCATTTTAAAAAATCTATTTACCATTATAGAGAAATGGATTTGCTATAAAAAATGTCTATGCCTTTAAAGACATTAGTCACATTACATTAAAAACAATGTACCAATTCTAATTATGTTTCACAGAAGTACAAATGTACTTAAAATATGAGTACATTTAGCTGTCAGATATTTTGCTTCAGTTTTTAGAAGGATCTTATTTATTACCTGATCTTTAAACAATAAAAAAGAAAACAACAAAAAATTATTGTCTTTTTCAACAATAATTGTCTAAAGTTGGTTGCTTATTTTATTAAAAGTAGAGAGCAAAAAAAAGACTTCAATGTCATGTTCATTGAAGTCGCAAGGCACATGTATTTGGTTGGTTTATACAGAATTTATTTTAGTTCGATTGTGTAGGAAGCTATTAGCTTATAAACACACTTTCGAATCTGTTCCTGGAACCAACCAGTACTGAGCAATGAGTGTAAAGTTTCTTGCGCAAGGAAACAACGACTTGCCCCTGTCAGGGTTTGAACCCATGCAGCTAGCTATCATAAGATTACTAGTCCGAAGCGTTAACCACTCGGCCATGCAGCCACATGTATTTGATGAGAGCATTAGGGGTCATCTTTTGGCCAGTGACAGGAATTTTGTTGAATTTAAACAGTTTGGTGGCATAAGGTTGATGGTGTTTAGATCCCTGTTTTTGTATGATATAATGTGCAGAGAGACAAGAGGTCTGTAGACACCAGTAAAGCTGGATAGTCATCTGTATGACCTTGTACAAAGTCAGTGACAAATTGGTATATAGTATGACTACAAAAAAAATGAATTAAAAAAACCTGCAGTATATTTACCACATGCAAGGAGGCTGTGTTTGTATCTTTAGTTTATACAAATTTATTTTAGTTCGATTGTGTTGGAAGCTATAAGCTTATTGAAACACTCTTGAATCTGTTCCTGGAACCAACCAGTACTAAGCAATGAATGTAAAGTTTCTTGCTCAAGGAAACAACGGCTTGCCCCTGACAGGGTTTGAACCCACGCAGTCAGCAATCCTTAGATTACTAGTCCGACGCATTAACCACTCGGCCACACCGCTAATTCAATTCAATGTTTGTATCTTTGTTTCAGATAAAACAGAAAAGGCAGTAAAAAGAGAAGATGTTGTGGAAACAAACTTTGCCTTCATTGAAATGGACCAAAAGTATGTGTTATTTGAATTTCCTGTTATATATTTTGAACACTTGTGGCACTGAATGAAGTCTATAAGTATAGAGCCATAGGATGGTTGGTACAAGCATGTAAACAGACCTGGTGCTATCTTGATGTTTCAGCTAAATTTTAGCATTTTTCATTTTGTAACAAGTATGCATGACCATCAATGATTTATAACAGTTACATTTAGGTCAATCTGCAATGTTTAAAGGTGGCACCATATAATGAAAAATAGTTTCTGTGACAATGATAAGAAAGTGGGTCCACTATATTTCACAATAGAAAAACAAATATGTATGATCGTTATAACTGCATATTTAAGAATTAAACATGTCTAGAACAAAAGCAACAAATAAAGGGTTCATTTGTGTGTAACAAAGCTAATGCCCATAATTTAGTAGTAACCAAACATATTGCTTGGCATTAGTTAGTGGTTATGGAACAATGGACATACACAGGATATATTTTTTGAAGCCAATGTGGAATTTAGAGCAAATTAAATAGTAAAATGTAGGTACGTTGAATGATACAACATTTGATCTTGATTTGAAAATTTAATTCTGCCTGTTCAGTTGGATAGCCAGAAAGCATGGTATTTATCATCTAGGAGTTGCTGGTTTGATCCTCGGGTGAGCTGTTTCTCCTTAACAATTGGTCTTTGACAATGAGTCTAATGGTCAATTTTCCCTAATAGCTTATTCAGATATCATGTGGGATTAGTAGTTGGTCACTTGTGGAGAAATTAGTAACTGACTGGTTAGTTATCCAGGAAAGCTGGTTAGGTGGGCTGATAATTGAGATTTGACCAAAAATGTGATAGAATTAGTATAAAAACAACAACAAACAAACAAACAACACTTGGTATTTCTTTATACTAGTATACATGTATGTCATAAGTAAATTTTTCCCTTGAGTTGCTCAGTCCTACTCTGTTCTGTACTTAACTCAGAAATAGGTTTTTTTTTCGAGAGAAAATGATCTGGAAGAGGAATTAGTCTAGGAGTAATTTCTTTATGAAATCTAATTTTTCAAAAATTTCTGACATTTTAACAAAATTTAAAATGGATATTATACCTCTGGGAAAAAAATATGTGTCATAAGTAAAAAGTAACATAGTAAAGTATGATAAACTGTGTTTTCTGCAGGTCCTTTTTGTTTCTCAATCAACTTTCCTCTGGTTAAGGAGAATCTCATTGTGGCAAAGTACATGTTCGCTTGTTACTCAAGTTTGATGTTCACAGTGCCAAGATGTTGTATTTTGTTGTGTTTAGATGGAGCATTAGTAAAAGGCTGTCCATTAGCCTTTTTTCTTGTTTACTCGTTGTTTCTCAAAACATTACTTGTTCTTTTTCAAAAAATTATTCATTGTTTCTCAAAGCATTATTTATTGTTTCTCAAAGCATTACTTTATGTTCCTCAAAGAATTACTTATTGTTTCTCAAAGCTACTTACTGTTTCTCAAAGCATTACTTATAGTTCCTCAAAGCATTACTAATTGTTTCTCAAAGCATATAACTACTAACAAGCCTTTTAAATGGGATTTTGGAAACTGAGGTCCTTTATAATATTGCTTTACACCTTGAATGTCAGCCCTAGCCCTGCTGGTGTCATCTTATTGTACCCATGTCAGACCAGTGTAGTCCAAGATCTGTCGGCACATCCATGCCATCTGATCACTGTCTGCACTCTTTGCTACTCAATCTGCACTTTTTTCTACTCAATCTGCACTTTTTTCTACTCAATCTGCACTTTTTTCTACTCAATCTGCACTTTTTTCTACTCAATCTGCACTCTTTTCTACTCAATCTGCACTCTTTTCTACTCAATCTGCACTCTTCTATTCAGACAGTAAATGTTTTTGAAATTTCCCCAAACATGATAAATGGTTTTGTCCAGACTGAACAAAGAGCAAGTCCATTTAGGATATTAAGGGTTAAAGCATTTAATTGTTGCTTCCCCAGTAATTTTATGTATCAGTTGTACTTAACTCTAAAAAATAAAATTGCTATCAGTCTTCTGGTATAAGAATCCTGGATGGTTTTCTGGTTGCGACTTTAAATAAATGTACATCACATTTTGTCATTAAACTTGCCTAAAGCTCAAAGAATCATAAAATTAACTCATAAAAATGATACTGAAGTTTGCATGACCTGTGCATCATAATAACATTGAGTTACTCAACAGATAAAAAGCACCAATAAAGCTTGTGTCCCCCATGTGATTTAACATGTCATGCAGGTGGTATGCCACTATATTGTACTGAATTCCCGCATGTGCTGCAAGAGCCAATGGGAGTTTTATGAATTTAATTTGTGAGCAGCCCAGAAATTGAACATTATGCGACAGTTTGTTACTCATAAATTGATTTTGAAGCATTTCTAGCACATTTAGACAATGTGTTTACAGGTAAGACACAGGGTAGTAGATTAAAGGTCAAGGTCACACAGGGACATGAAAGTGCATTGGTTGTTGTGTCCATTGGACGAATCTGTCATTCCTGAAAGGTGTTTGAATATGTTTTTGCTTCAGAATTAGGTCTGTAGCTCAGGGGTCAATGAGCTAAAAGGTCAAGGTCACCCTGGTATGTTCAAAGTCATGAAAAAAAAAATCATGAAAGTTCATTCATGATTTTGTTCGACAGTCTTTGTCAAGGGGCTCATGCACCCTAGCACTCTTTCCTTGTTGTTCTGCCTACTTTGTAGGGCAACTACCCTCAGCTTTAGTCAAGAAATCACCAGCTGAGTTGTAAGAGACAATAGCAGTTTTTAGGACCCATCCTATATTGTATGTTTTGGAAGTTGCGATTTTTGTAAATTTATTTTTAGAAACTGTTTACTTCTAGTGTACATTTTCAATTAAATTTTGTTACATAATTCTTTTTTTTATGTCTTATGTAAGTAAATAGAAACAGCAGTTTTTGACTTATCTATCTAACTATTTGTTTGTAATACATTTTCATATTAGTTATGTTAATTTCTTTTTTATTAACTTATATTATGTAAGAATGAGTAGGAAAGGCAGTTTTGAAATTTTTTATTTTACTTACGTAAATTTTATTTCGTAATAATGATATTATAATAAAATGATAATTACATAAATAGTAGGTTTTGGTAACTTAATACTTTAATAAGGAAAAGATGTTGCATGTATGGATGTTTTTATAAAGATATCCTTTTGCAAATGCGTGTTGAAATGGTATATTTTGTGGCATTCACTAGCAAATGTTGTTTATCTGCTGCTATAATTATAAAGCAGTTCAAAGTTGTCATGAGTGAGGATTGTACTAACCTGATGTCAGTCAATGTCTGTTTCATAACATATAAATATTATAATTTAAAGAAAAAAAAATACTGTTACAAAACAGATTTTATGTGATAATTATTTACAACAAAAATAAAATAATGCGTATGTCTAAGGAAAATTCATTCTTGCTCCTTTATTGTAAAGGTGTTGTAAGAACAATAAAATGAGCCGCGCCATGACAAAACTAACATTATGCGTTTGCGACCAGCATGGATCCAGACCAGCCTGCACATCCGCGTAGTCTGATCAGGAGCCATGCTGTTCACTTACCAACTCTATTGCAAGTAGAGAAACTGACACTGTTCACTGGAGGTTATACTCTGTAGGTAACTGCTCACTAGATGTACATCCTTTAGATAACCCTGCTGCACTTTATAAATTACTGCTAACTGGAAGTATACTCTATAAGTTATGCCATGGAGGGGCATTTTCTAGAATCTGCCCTCTTACCAGAGTACACTTTAAGTAATCTCACTAAATAAAAACTACAGGAAGAACAAAAAAACTGCTCCTGGAGGGACACTAAGGGAATTGCTTACTTAAATAACGCCACTTTAGGCAGCCAAATTTTACCAACTGTTCACTTGAGGCAGACTCTTAAAATAACTGCTCACTGAGGGAATAACTGATTTCCAGTATAGGTTCTTTCAGACCAAAGCAGCAAGAAAATAAACAAACAACAAACAAACATTTCAGTGATCTCATATAAATGGAATTTGCCATTAGAACAGGTCTGATAGTGAAACTCATTCTATTAAAGTGAATAGCAAATTAAATTCCTTCAGAAGCCAATTCTGGAGTCCATATTTGTGAAAATTATTCACACTGTTACTTGAATAATATTTTCACAATTCTATAATTACATTAGACGATAGGCAAACATGGGAAACTTCCATACAATAACTGAATTTCTGAGGAAAATATTAATGCCTGGGGACACTGATCAAGTCTGTGAAATACTGAAATTTCTACAGCTATAGAAAGTTTTTTTTAGGAAGTTAACACTCAAATTTTACATTATTTTTTACTCATTTATTTATTCATTTAAATTATTAGAAGAAAATCAAGATATTGTTTTTATATTTTTTTATTTTTTTGCCACCTTACCAAATATGGCAAGCTTTTCCCTTATTTTTTACAACCAAATAAAGACTAGCTCAAAATAGGTATATTTTCCCCTAAAATTGCTATATTTCCCCCAGAAATGCCCTGTGTGACATTCTTCATCAAAACAATGACTTAATAGCAGCTGATTTATAAAATTTTATTGACCTACCCTATAGCTGGTAGTCTCTGCTACAGGTATGTACATTGCATGTTAAATGAAATGAAATTGAAAATTTTATAAAAATATATGGTCAAAGTCCATCCTCTGTTGTTGGAATATAATTTTAGGTTTTCCCCCTTTCCTGATTTATCATGCTGTATTTGCCCCTTTGCCTGTCTGTGACTGTTGTGGGTTTGAATCTCAATAAGGGACTTTGGATTCTTTCATGTAAGAAAGCTATCTTACTAGCATACAGAACAAATTGGTGGTTATATTCGGGTGCCAGCTTGTGCTTGAAATAATGTACCGAAGGCACCTGAAATCTTCATCCACTAGTAAAGCTCATGGAAAGTTACTTTAATTTTGCATCATAAAACCCAACCAAAAAAATTATAACAAATTTATGATACAGCACAATAGAATTATTTGAGAAAAAATTTACATTAATTTATAATAGCAATGTTTAAAGTTTAAAAATTTACACCACAATTATGGAACAAAAATCAACATTACAGACATGCAATTTTATTATTGAATAATTATATTCTTAAAAATTTAGATATTACTATGATTATTATCATACTGAATTTATATAGCACTCATTTCATAAATAAAACAGGTTCAAAGGCACTGTACAATCAACATTTAAAAAAAGAATAACCATTAAAAATATAATTTGACATCAAAATTGTATATTTGGAATAACATTACAAATCTGGAGAGGACTTAACTATAGAACTATTTGCTTTAACAAAACTATAATAAAACATGTTATTTGAAAACTTGTTAGATTTGATGGTGTACTCCACTGACAATCTAATCTTCTAGTTCTGCTTCAAAAATTTCCCCCCTTTGTTCAAGAAAAAGACCTGAGATTTTCATGCTGTACTTTTTTCTCTGTGATTTTCTTTTTCTTTCTTCTTCATATAAGAGGCATTAGGTTTTATGGTGAAAAGTGGGATTAAGGTTTGTTTTAATGCTAGTCAATTTGCCAAAGAGCTCCGCAGCGGCAACTAAATCCTAATTTTACGAGAATCTCTGCAAATGACAGGTCGTTAAAACAGCCAATGTAGACCCCAGTAATCATTAGACTGGTCAGACATACTCGTTTGATAGAACGGAGGAAAAATTTACACAAAAAACATTTCTGTTGAAAATAAGATAAGAATTCTCCTATGTTTTATAAGAGAAAAACTGGAAGTTTTGAATAAAGCTAAAGATGGAATTCCAAATAATATTTGTAAATATTAAGCATTTCCACCAGCATTTTAAATGGAGTGGGGTGGGGGCCTTGGGGAGCAGATGGGGGAAGGTGTAAATTCAGAGATTTCTAGGAATTTTTACCACCTCAATTAGAAACATATAACCTGAGTTTTATTTATTGCTTTATTAAAAAAAGTTTGAGATAAATTTAACTATTTGGGTGTAGTATTTTGAAACACTGAAAAATCTGCTCTAATAAATAAAACATTGAAAATTGTTGTCAGTTTTCAATAGATTTCATTGATGTCTTTATTGACTTAAAAATGAAGCCCTGGGTCTATCAGTCTGACAGACACAAACTTTAATTCTTTGATTGTACATTTTGCTATCATTTAAGTAATAAGTTTTGAATATTTTTGTTTAAAAAAAGTCTTAGTAAAATGGTAAACAGGAAATGCGAGACAATGGTACATAATGTACTAAACTCAGTGATGCAAAATGTATTATAAGAAGCTTGTAGGGAAGACTTGGCTTGCCATAAATTACTATGTTGCCTGTTTAAATGAAGTTGTTATTATTATCATTATTATTATTATTATCTGTTATATATAATATCTGCTGAAACTGAACCATTAAATCTAAATAAGTTGTTTATAAAACCTGCAAATTGCATTTTTAATGACCCTTTCCAATCTTAGTACATTAAATATAATTGTCCGTCTTTCAATCTGATCAATTTCAGGAATAATATATATAATTATATATATATTTCATGATATGTACTGACTGTATAGCAAAATAGTGCAGAACATCACCGCAGATGGTATTGAATGTGTCGGCTGCTCTAAGTTTACATGGGTAGATGTTTGGGTTAATTTATTTGTTGCCAGCAGGCTTAGGTTTTAACTTCTTTTTTCAAAGTAAGCTTCACATCTTTTTGACTTTTTTTTGCCACAAGAAGAATTTGATATTAAAATAAATAATAATTAAAAAAAAAAAAGATATTAAATAAGAAAGAAAAAAACTTAAAAAAAACTTAAAAAAAACTTAACAAAACTGATATGTACTGGGTATTTTTCTGATGGAATGTTGCATGCAAAAAGATATTAGTAGTAGTGTCATTACAGGGCATGATTTATGGTAATGAAGGGGGAATCAATGTTCCTAGGAAATTACACGCTCACACCAGGCGACATTTTTTTTTCTTTCTATCCCTTGTTGCCTCTCATTTGTCCGCTGTGTGCCGCAAGAAACTGTAACCGTGCAATTAGTGGACGGCAATGATTCCATTGTCTTGCGAATAACCTCAGTTGGAAATCAAGAAATTAATGGAATTGAACGTTCCACGGCTTTTCTTGAAGCTGTCTACATCTAGAAACACTTCTTTTTTTTTCCACGCTGATGTCTTATTTCGCTGAGGGGCTTTTGTATGATTTCTCCTTTTCTGTTGAATTACACTTCACTGAATTTTTCACTTTTAAGGATCACTATTATATGGCCAATTTTGTGTCATTTTAAATAGAAGTAAGATTTTCTTCATTTTCGCGAAGCTGTACTAAAGGTCTTCAGTAATTTACTCTTAACACTTGAATGGCCTCACTTCAGGGTACAGTTTTAATGCACTCCAAAGATATTTGTCTGATAGGGTTTCCGGTAATTTTCTGCCATCTAATCTTCCTCTCTAAATCTCTCATGATTATATTTTGTGCTTGCTTTGACTATTTTGGGATAGGGGTAGACAGGATTTCCAACAGCAGCTTGCAAATGCCTGATATAATGCATACAGTAGATGGGTACTTTTTTACCTAAATTTTCACAGACTGCAAGTTTTCTGTATGGCAAAGAAAAAAGTCTGTTGCTGTCACTTGATTATTTGAATGATTTAAAACTATATTTCTCCAGTTTAACCGATCAATAAAGATGTGTCTGTGAATAGGAACATAATTTAAAAAGAAAATATCCCAAACCGCCAGTAATTTGACTGGCGGCTGAAATAAAAAACTATAATAAAAAGGCGAAGGGAGAACAAATTAAGTGAAAGTCTAATTTAACACTAGCTTACTCACAAATATTACCTTAGAGTTTGTTCTTTTATTTAAAAAAAAAGAAAAAGAAATTTTGTTGTACTTTTTTTTAAACTGCTAGTTAAGTAAAGATGTGACAGAATGTTGAACATTTGGTATAACATATGAACAAAGAGTAAACTGAATGTATAATTGAACAGGGATGAGTGTTGCAAGAACTGGTCATATCTCTGAGCTTAAGTTAACAGTTAGAGCTCAAATGTCTAAAAAATGTCTTAATAAAAGTGTCTATATTTCAAGTCTACTCAGCATGTTCAGGGCTAATAATTGAAGTTTCCAATGCTGCTTGCTATTATTTAATACAGTTTCTAAGGTTATTTTCAATTTTGTCTTCTTTTTTTTCCAGTCTGACATCGAAGGCGGTGGATAAGATGATAGATACACTGGAGCATGTTGTAACAGCAAATCCTGGTTCACTCAACAATTATCAGTTCGTATATATGAATATTTTTTTTAAATTTTACACCTGCCTGTATCTGCCATTAACAGGATACTTTTACAATGACCTGTTTGAAATTCTATTTTCCAATTAAAGTTAAGTTGTGTTCAGTGCTTAGCTTTTGCAATTTGAGCAACTTGAAACTTTAATTAAATTTGTGGATGTTTTATTATAAAAGCAAAAAACATGTACAGCAGTTTTGTTTAAAGATCATGTAAATGCCACAATAATCCAAAGTAAACCAATGTTACAGACAGCAGTATTATAAAGATACATGTATGATGACTGGTTTGTTTTGCGGTCATTCTGTGTGTCCATCTTTCAAACTGACCGGATAAATTATACAGAAATATTATATAAATCATTGTGCAGTTGTAGAATACATGAAAAATGTGGGGAGAAAGTTATAGATAAGATTCTGTTTCAGCAGATTCAGGTTAGAAGGAAATGAATAAATTCATGTTTTGCTAATGATTCCATATACAATCATCATATAAAACCAAAATATCTTTGAAAAAGATCAGTAAAACAAACAAGAGTTTGTGATAGGTCTGTAAAATATCATGTTACATAAAATCCATTGCAGGATATAACCTTTCATTGTTTTCCATACATCAAGATATTTTTAGGGCCAGGCTAAATGTTTGCTATTATATCTAATGTTTCGAGTGCGAAACTAGAGGGGGATCAGGTGGTCTGCCGGGGATATTAAGTGTTTTTCCGAGATTTTCCGCCAGAACCAAGACACACTTGATATAAATTAAGTATAATTAATCGAGTTATGAAATCTTCTAGGTTACTATTGATTATTACCTCCGTCTAACAGAGGCATGTTTTGTTGGAATAAATTTTAATATCTCTCACTTTTAATATTGGTGTTTTTTGTTCGTTATGAAAACTAAATTGATATTATATGTAACAGGTGTGAAATAGAGGATAGGGAAATATAATAATATGAAATGAATGAATGTTTACTCCTCTTGTAAGTTTTCCTTTGAAAAGATTACAAAGATTGGCTGACAGTATCATGACTAAAGTTATAGAATAATGCTTGAATATAAGTGAAGCTTTGCCATTGGTTGAATTATGAATAAAGCTATAAAGTGAAATTTGAATTTAATTAGCAGAGTTCTGCCATTTGTTTGAGTTTAATTAGTGGAGTTTTGCCATTTGTTTGAGTTTAATTAGTGGAGTTCTGCCAATTAGTGGAGTATCCTACTGGCTGAATTATGAATAAAGCTTTAAACTTATGTTTGAATTTATTCACAAGTAGTGGAGCTTGCAATTAGGTGAAAAATGAATAAAGATTTATTGATTTATATGAATTTAATTTGTCAAACTCTTCAGTTTTGGGAAGTAATGAATAAAGATTACTAATAAATGTAGCCCTGTAATTAGGTGAATAATAAATAAAGGTATAACTGTATTGATGTAATTAGGTGAATAATGAATAAAGGTATAAATGTATCCCTGTAATTGGGTGAATAATGAATTAAGGTATAAATGTATCCCTGTAATTAGGTAAATAATGAATAAAGGTATAAATGTATCCGTGTAATTAGGTAAATAGAAAATAAAGGTATAAATGTATCCGTGTAATTAGGTGAATAATGAATAAAGGTATAAATGTATCCCTGTAATTAGGTAAATAATGAATAAAGGTATAAATGTATCCGTGTAATTAGGTAAATAGAAAATAAAGGTATAAATGTATCCCTGTAATTAGGTAAATAATGAATAAAGGTATAAATGTATCCGTGTAATTAGGTAAATAATGAATAAAGGTATAAATGTATCCGTGTAATTAGGTGAATAATGAATAAAGGTATAAATGTATCCCTGTAATTAGGTAAATAATAAATAAAGGTATAAATGTATCCCTGTTTTTGGGTGAATAATAAATAAAGGTAAAAATGTATCCCTGTTATTGGGTTAATAATAAATAAAGGTATAAATGTATCCCTGTAATTAGGTAAATAATGAATAAAGGTATAAATGTATCCGTGTAATTAGGTAAATAATGAATAAAGGTATAAATGTATCCGTGTAATTAGGTGAATAATGAATAAAGGTATAAATGTATCCGTGTAATTAGGTAAATAGAAAATAAAGGTATAAATGTATCCCTGTAATTAGGTAAATAATGAATAAAGGTATAAATGTATCCATGTAATTAGGTGAATAATGAATAAAGGGTAAAATGTATCCCTGTAATTAGGTAAATAGAAAATAAAGGTATATAATGTATCCCTGTAATTAGGTGAATAATAAATAAAGGTATAACTGTATTGATGTAATTAGGTGAATAATGAATAAAGGTATAAATGTATCCCTGTAATTGGGTGAATAATGAATTAAGGTATAAATGTATCCCTGTAATTAGGTAAATAATGAATAAAGGTATAAATGTATCCCTGTAATAAGGTGAATAATGAATAAAGCTTTATAGCTGGCACACCAGTGCTATCTGATCTTAGTTTTTCACTGTTTGCTATGAAATTTTTCCTGAAAATGATTATATTGAAAGTTGGATAAGTTTATATTTGAGATTAATCAAGGGTGATAAGGGTTAAGTGTTTATAGGGCTACATCAAGCTTAACAGCATAAGTGTTTTAAAACAGAATTGCACTGCATTTTTCATCATAATCATGTAACAATATTCAACCATTTATAATGGGTACCTGTAAATTTGTACATCACTTGTGAGTACCTAGCTAGGGCAGACATGCTCATTTTACTACTTTTATCCTAAAATTTACATAGAATATTTTCAAAGCAGAACAAATTCTTAATAATGAAACACACAAATTAATTGTCAACTGGGTTAGGGTTAATTAAATATTAATTTAGGAAAAAGAAATTAATAGTTTTTCTCCTACTTTCATTTTATATAAGTTGCCTATACATTGTAGTACAGGAACAGTATTTTCATAACATTTTCAATTTGATTTTCATGTTCGTGTAAAAGCATGCATGGAGTTAATTGATTTTTTCTTTGTGGCTCAAATTGAGGTTTGCATGAAAAAAATATGTTATAATTGTTCTATCGACTTTGATAAAGGCGTTATTGCATGCACTACATTCATGATTGTTGATATAATTAAGTTCACGACACTTGATTAAACTGTCAATATTGAGATTTCATGTTCCGATGGTATCTTGAAGCACTCGTGGAAGCAGCGCCATCTACAGTTGTCATTCCTCTGCAGTAATTATCAGCAATTGACAATCGCCCTGGCTTTTCATCCCCCCCCCCCCTTTCCCTGTTATAGATGCGCCTGTGATAAATTCTGCAAATCGTGTAATCAATTGATCGGGACAGAATCTTTGTTAAGGCTCATATGGAAATTTCAAGTCTCTTGTACTGGTAAATTATGGTGGTTTGATCATGAAAAAACATATGTTCTACAACTGTTCTGTAAAGATAGTATAGATAGCTAAGAGCTCAAAAATATAATGTGTTAAAAACATTCTTTTTTGGTCTCAGTCATAGTAAAATACTACTGGGGTCTTGGGGGAATAAACAGATGTAACTGTTGCAGAATGACATACAGCCATTTGTCAGAACTTCCTGCCCGTATGCTACCAATGCAAACCAAAGATACTAGACACATCTGTACAGTCTGATCATGATCTGCACTGTTCAGCCAGTACATACTCTTTCACTGTTTAGTAATTAACTATGTTTGTTATTTGAATTATTTTATAAAATTATGGATTGTTTTGTCAAGATTTATAGACATAAGGATGGTAATGGTTAATATTTTGGTATTCAGATGTCACTTCAACTATTGTATTTGAATTAAAGCAAAACACCTCTGTTACATAAATTATGTTGGTTAAAATTTATGGTGAATGTATCATAGAAGTTGTAAGTCTGTATACACGTAATTGTTTGATGGAAAATTTTTAAGTTGGGCGTCCATGGCAAAGTGGTCAGGTTCATTGACATCAAACCACTAGCCCCTCAATGTTGTGGGTTTGAAACCTGCCAGAGACTTTTGATTCTTTCATGTGAGGAGGCTATCCAGCTTGATAACACAGGGACATCTGTGGTTCTACACATGTGTCCGTTTGTGCATGAAATATTATATGGAGGGGGACTTAAGGTCTTCCTTCACCTGAGTAAAGCTGGAAATTTTAAGTCACCATATGCAATGTGAACAAAAAAAAAATATATTTAATATTATAAAATCAAATTTTAACCTCCCAATGTGTTTACTAGGATTTATTTGGATCAGTCATTTGCAGACTAGCATGATTGTATAGTGATGACTCCCTGGTGTCAGCTGGTGAACTGTTTATAAGTAGTTGTATCATAGTTTACCAAAACACTTGGCAATCTGATTAATACTCGGGAGGGCTACGCCCCCTCGTACAAATCAGATAGCCTCGTGTTTCGGTGCTCTTTCTATTACTTATTCTTAATTTAATGTAGGATAATTCCACAGTACAAATTTAAAGTGTTAAAAGTGAAACAGAAGTAATAAATTCATCAGCAAAGTTCAGCAAAATAAATGTTTTTAAATTTTAAATGCAGTTTAAAATATTAAATAGTAAGGAAAGAAGTTTCAATGGTATTTGAAGGGATTTGAATAACATACACTACAATAGATTATTTTTTCAAAATCCTCACCAGTTTTTTTGTTCTCCAGAAAATGTTAGAAATGAATGTTTCTATTTGTAAATGAAGTGTTACACGGAAATAGCTCAGTCATATATCTTAAATATTCATATAGTAATTGACGTTTCTTGTTATTTTAGACAATAAGTTGAGACAGCCTGATTATATTATGTTTCATTCATAGAATCATTTTTCATTTAAAAGGATTGCCTCCGATTATTTTATGAATTCAGAACCATTCTTGGACCCCATTAAACGCATTAATTCCATATTTCAGAAGTTCATTACAGTGGCTTTTTTCTCGCAGGCCGACAATAATTGACGTATTGAAACTTTATCAAAATGTGCCGCTTCCTGTTTCAATTGGATTACTTTGGATTTCTTCCTCCCATTACAGTTGTGTGATTATTGACGGTGACAATATGAGGCAGACTGACTTATTATACCAAGCACCGTGTCGCGTATGATTTGATCAGACAAGAAAATGTCCAAGAAATAATGGACGAGAAGCGTTCAAACATTAGAACTGATCTGATTTGTTTGGTTGTGTCAGAAGACAAGTGTTTGTTTGGTCTCCCTATACTTATCATAGTTTTACTTTACATTTATATAAAACTATATTTTGTTGTATTTTCTTGATTTAATGATAGAAAATATAAAATAATATTTATCCCAAAAGATGCTGATGAAATACATGTATCTAGAGTTTCAAAAATTTATACATGTATATAAATGATTTGCCTTGGTTTGACTTGGACAAGACTGTTTTTTATGTAATAATATTTTGTTGTACATGTAAATTGATTGAATGATAGAAACAATTGCAAAAAGAAAATTGCTCAATGGAAATTGAGCCTGGCTTCAAGGTTATCTTTGTGTCGAATCTTAGGAATATTGCTGGTCAATGTATATTCTGTGTATATTCTGTGTCCATTTCTAACCAATTAAATACCTGAGATGTGATGTGGACCCTGTTATATGATAAGGTGTTGTGGAAACTTAAAACTCAACTTAGACTGTTGCTTAGCTCAATAGGTAGAGCGTTGCACTGTGAATTGGGCAACCCGGGTTTGTTTCCCGGACTGTGCAGGTCACTTTTGTTCTATGGTCATTTGCACTGTACCTCTGCTCTGGTATGTACAGACGTTTCAGTTCCTTGCGTAAGTGAAGGCAACTAGTACTGGTAAACTGCTTGACAGCTTGCCCAGGAATGATGCGTTGGTTGAACTGTGCTCTGTTGCTGCCATGATCCGGAGTGAAAACTATCAACACCACCACCAAAACCCAAACTATGTAAAAATTATATATATTGAAAGCATATTATATATAATAATAGTCCAAAATAACACAACTTGAGTAAGTTCTCGTGTTATTTTTTTCTCCTATTTGATAGCTAGCTTGTTCTTACTGTGATTCGTTTATCGTGAGCTATTGTAGACATCAGTCTATAAAAGCCGTTCTGTGTTGCCATAAATGTAATTTTGCCTAATTTGAATAAAAGCGAATATTCGTTTTGTAAATCAGTAATGTAGTTATCCACGATTTGACAGTTTGAAATCAATTGCAACCCAAGACGTGAATTTACAGAGGGAGCTGTCAGGCTTAATATTGGCGGAGAAATAGAAGATTAATGAGCATAGGGAGGTGGAGAGAGAGAGGGAGAGAGGGGGGAGGTGTTTTAAGTGTGGTTACAAATCTATGATCTTGTTCTAAGCAAAACCTTTTCCATGAAAATTGTAGACCTATTGTTAGTGTTGTTGTTGATTATTGTGTTGCAATTTTTATTTGGGTTTTACAGAATTTTATTACCAGTGAAAGTTTTATAAAGTCAAGACAATGTAATATGTCCATAATTATGCTTAAAGTGTTTAAATTTTAAAAGCAAATAATGCTTACTAACCTGCTGAAATTCTTAAATGGAATCGTCCAACTTTCATTCATGGAGCTGTCCATTATCAATGATGGGGATATGATGGGTAATAGCTGTAAAGTCGGTGAACGTGCGTATGCATGAAACTTAGACTATAAAATGCAATTACTTTAATTACTTTATATCAACCATTATCAATGATGGGGATATCAACCATTATCAATGATGGGGATATCAACCATTATCAATGATGGGGACATCAACCATTATCAATGATGGGGATATCAACCATTATCAATGATGGGGATATCAACCATTATCAATGATGGGGACATCAACCATTATCAATGATGGGGATATCAACCATTATCAATGATGGGGACATCAACCATTATCAATGATGGGGATATCAACCATTATCAATGATGGGGATATCAACCAGTATCAATGATGGGGATATCAACCATTATCAATGATGGGGATATCAACCATTATCAATGATGGGGATATCAACCATTATCAATGATGGGGACATCAACCATTATCAATGATGGGGATATCAACCATTATCAATGATGGGGATATCAACCATTATCAATGATGGGGGATATCAAGGTTAGTCAGCCAACAGTACATGACATTGTATGGCCAAACTACACTGCAATAAGTCAGAGTCCCCACAGTTACATCATTATTGCATTAAATGGAAAATGACTAAATGCGACTATATTATACAGTAAATGCATATTTACCAGTATTAATTAAAATTTTGGTGACTATTTGATCATTTGATAAATATAAAAATGTAAAATTTTATTTTACAGAGTGAATGGTACAAAGCTGAAGATCAATGTTGATCCTGTTTTAGCTGGGCTGAATGCTACTAAATTTGCTGAACAAGCTCGTAAGTGTGCACTTCATTGTGTTGTGCCATGTTGTAACTGTAAAAGTTTGTTTGTAGGCCCCTGGTAAGTCTATTTTAGAATTTAAGGATACTTTATATTCTGTCTGTAATCAGAAAATTATTCGGCTGTATCTTAGTAACAAAATCGAAAATAGAAGTTGAATATTTTGGAAGGGAATGATTTGTTTCATTTCATTTTAAATTTTATGTACATTAAAAAATAGGGAAATTCTTTACAGATGCAATCATAGGACATTGTATGAAATTGTTGAATGTGATAGTATAGTTTTTGAAATTAATGTACAATATAATTGGCCAGTAAGTAGCTTTACAAGCTTTCTTTTACAAGCACTCTGTCCATTGTTTCATTTCCACATCAAGGTTTAATATGTTGTTGTCAATGGCAATTAACGGCTAAAAGGCTTGATGTTTTTAAGGCGGAATAATCATATACTTTCATCTACCGTCCACTAACCCTAATAGTACACTATAGATATGTTTTTATTCCAGTAATCTGATCACATTACTCCGTTATCAAACAAGGAGACGTCTGTAATTAATGATTTTTTCTTAAGACCCCCAGCCCGCGGGGACTATATGACAAAAAGAATCGTACACTTCAACGTTATTTAGAGCTGTCGTTTTTCCAGAATTGAAACTTAACAATAGATTTATCGTGACGTTTGTGTCCAATGATAAACTAAAAATCCATTTACTTTCGTAGAGAAACGCTGCCCTAATCCGGAAACAGGCTTTTTATCCAGGAAAAAAATAGTTCCCTAATGGAATGAAACCTTTTGATCACCAAAAAACCTTTATACTGTACACTAATACACTAGTTTAGTTATATGAGGGGAAAAATTCTTGACGTCTAAATAACCAAAACAAGTAGAGAAAAATGACAGGCTGATAGTAATGATGTATTTAAGTGAACTTTTTGATCTTTTCAGAAAAACAAGAGGTTGTTGACTAGTTAAATGTTGAATAATTTGTTGTTGTCAAAGCAATCATAAGCCATTATTATATATTTAGTTTACAGTTACTCTTACATTTCTTTGCCCAATGTTTTCATTTATTAACCCTAATTTTTGATAGTTAGAGGACAATAAACATTTATTGATTATACTTCAAGACACATTAAAGAAGTTTTGAAAGTAGTCCATAAAATGGGCCAGTTACAGCAGGCGCCAAGTTTCAAAGCACGATCATTTCAAATTGAAAATTCCAATCTGCACATATTTTTCTTTTTTTTGGATCAAATCTTGAAAACCTTTCAATCAATAAAATATTTGTCATTCTTGTATTATTAAGAAGATAAAAATTAATATAATAGGAACATTTTTTATTTTGTAATGGCATCTTCTGTAGACATTTCACAGGATGAGAAAAAATCTGCAGCCTGACCTGGACCTGTACACGTAACCTTAGGAATACAGTTTTGCCATTCTACCGGCTGAGCTATCCAGCCGCTGCTCCCCTAAAAGGTGAACAGATCTGGACTGTCACAGACACAAAACATAAATCTATCAACCTTAATTTAGTATAATGGACTTGTTTCTCAGAGTATTGGGATAAATCCATTGTTATACCCCCATAAAAGAAGTTTAGGGGGTATATAGGAGTTGGCTTGTCAGTCCGTCCGTCTGTCAGTCCACATCATGGTTTCCGGACAACAACAAGAGTTTGGAATGAGGAATTGTGTATATAGCAAACTTGATATATAGCAAGCTTACAAGAAGATACCAGATGGTATTGCATTTGGACCTCCTGTGATCAAGATCAAGGTCACTGTTTCTAAAAATAGAAAAATGGTTTCCAGACATTAACCAGAGTAAAATTGGAGTGAGATTTTGTAATCAAACTTGGTTTATAGCAATTTTAAACGAAACTTAAAATAGAAAAATGGTTTCCGCACACTAACTAGAGTTAGGAATAAGATATTGTAATCAAACTTGGTGTATAGCAAGCTTATATGAAGACCCTAGTTGGTATTACATTTGGACCCCCTAGGGTTAAGGTCACTGTTACTTGAGATAGAAAAATGGTTTCCAAACAAAAACTAGAGTTAGGAATGAGATATTGTAATCAAACTTGGTCTATAGCAAGTTTATATGAAGATCCTGTTTGGGATTGCAATTAATTGAAATAATTCTCTGTACACAGTTGATACTTATTATAGGTTGATTTCAAATTTTTCTTCAGGCCACTTATTTATCAAAAAGTCAAAGTTGCTGGTGGGGGTATTAATCACTTTTTGTGAAAGCTAGGTCACAATATCAAAATGTAAAATTGAGGCACCAACAGTATAATCATTATGGTCAGTGAGGCTGCACAAGTTCATGATGGTCTAGTTAATACTGACAGTATAATTATAATGTCTGACCTTATTATTGCAAGTGCTTGAAGAATTTATAGAAATATAGCTTCAGAAACATCACAGAAAAGAGCAGAATTTGAATTATGTCATGCATGCAAAATTTTAGTGACAATTTTGCATGTTATGTGTTCAATATTTGCATTTTTATTGAAAATGAGGGAAAATTGAACAAGTTCCATTATTTTGCATGTAATATCTAAGTTTAGTCATGTTTTAAATTCGTGAACTGTCAGTAGATATGTCAGATTTTCCTCAAGCTTTTGCCCTACCCCGCCTCCCCCAACCCCATCACACAGAAAAAAGGTTATATCAAAGTAATAAGATGGGTCCATCCCTCTTTGCAACAGAATATTTCTTTTCCATTATCATTTTAGGTGTTTAATGCACATGCATTATAATATATGCATTTGATATGAACTTATTCATTGTCTTTTTTTTAAATTATAGCCCTTGAATAGAAAAAAATTTGATATTTTAGTGATTAAAAGTTTATTTTACATTGTTACATTGAATACCTTAAAATGATAATGGGAAAGAATTCTTTTGTCACAAGCATTATCAGGATTTAAAGTTTGTAAAACCCCTTGTGGCTGACAGGTTGACGCATCATCAGAATTGCAGCCACTGTTTATACCTGCATGATCGTAATAGGCAACTTAATGGTTCGATTTACTGAAGTCTATGCATGTCTAAAATAGCTCAACAACTGGTGAGGTGGTTTTGACTCCTGGTGTTGCTACAAGTTTGTAACACCCAAGGTTAGTCAAAATCATCTTTACTGTTACGGTGCCATATGGCCTGTGTTGGACAGCACCTAAAAACTGTATAAATAAATTCCTAAAACTGAAGGTCTCCAGATGAATGAACAACACATGTTCAAAAATTCTAATGTAAGAAAAAATCTACGAATAAGGGTTTATAGAATGTACTGTAAATAATTATAATCCATATAACACTTAATAATTATGTTAATATATAACTGAACTTATTATTTTCTTCACCATATTTTTCATATTTTGACACTTTTAAAATTTTTCATGTGCTCTATAAATGCATCTTGTTCTGCACTATTTTATTTGTTTACACAATGACAAGTTTTTATAAAAATACATATACATGTGTATATCGTGAGGCAAGCTGCGTAATAATACTGCTAGTAAATTCTCTCTTTAAAGAAACGTCATCATTCACAGATTTTCTAACCAGTAACATATGTAGTAGGAAAGTCTTTAGTTTTTGAAGAAAATTGACAAAAGATTTTGTTAAAAGGAACATAATCAGTCAATGTTCTAGAATATAATTGATGCGTGCGGCTCGATGTTTCCGGAGCTTTAGAGAATGTTTCAAAGAAGGTTTTTAGCGTCGTTAAAATCTGATTGGCATAGAGAAATCACTGAATAATCTGCAGCGGAAACTCTGATAGTGCGACCTCAACGGGAAATCGGCAGGAAAGAAGATTTTCTATCTTACGATCCTCTTTTGACATTTTTTTCGCTTTTGTTCTACGGCAACAAAAAATAAGCTATGAGAAAATGTTTAGTATAAAGATAATACTTTTGTATGGCCGCATTAGAAGATATTGATTGTTTAATGCATTTTCTACCATTAACATCTATTTAAGCTAAAAGGAAACATAATTACGATAGATTTTCAGAATCCCCTTAGCTTAATTAAGCAAAAAAAATCAACGTAAAGAAAAGTCGGGTGATTTTTTCTTCTTTTTTTTTTCTATAAGAAAAAAAATCCCAACAATATTAAAGTTTTTGGACAGAAAAAGACATTATCAGGTTGTATGGCCAATATATTCCAATATATTCCAGGAATTAAGCCTGATAAAGTAAGAAAGATTAGGAGTTAAGAATGAGAGATGTGTATGATAAATGTTTGTGGACTTAGAGATAAAATATTATGGCACTTACCAGTACACACCGTATTACCGGCGGCAGTGATGGCAGATCACTGCAGTGATGGCAGATATCTGAAAATTACCGATCGGTACAGGTAGGTTATAAATTTGGTTGGTTTAATTATATTACACAAATACGGCCCATATCATTGCTATAAAACTATTGTCCATTGAATGGAGATACTGTAAGGTAATTTTGGACTCGCTTTTTCCTGTTTTACGACTATTTTGAGCAGGTTAAAAGTGAAAGCCTGGAAAAAATCCGTGAAAATGTCTGTTTTCTGTTCAAAATATCTCAAGTTTTAAGTAAATGGCAGGATTTCCTGTTATCAATATAGACGTTCATCCATTGGGTTCACGCAAGCCAAATATCTACCCCGTGAGTCTTTTCTTGAAAGTTTTACAGACGTTCAATCTTGTCCGGTCGAAGAAAAATTGCTGCCGTTGTAGGCAGATACATATTATAAATGCTGCCGTCGATGGCAGAAATAACACGAAAGTGGCTAACATTCTGACAGAAAATCAAGTTCAATCTTTTATCAATTCCGCTTTTCTTTGCGTCCTTTTAGTCGGAATTGAGACGTTAAACTATCATTTCTAATATTTTCTCAAGATAGAAAAGTTATTGATGCGGTGTGTGCATCGAAAAAAGCTTTTTAGCAACATGCAGTTACAATACAAAAAGTGATGATTTAGTACGACAAAATTTCACTATAA